TGCAATCACCACCTGCAGTGATTTTGGAGCCCAGAAAAATAAAGTCAGCCACTGTTTCCACTGTTTCCCCATCTATTTGCCATGAAGTGATGGAACCGGATGCCATGATCCTAGTTTTCTGAATGTTGAGCTTTAAGCCAACTTTTTCACTCTCCTCTTTCACTTTCATCAAGAGGCTGTTTAGTTCCTCTTCACTTTCTGCCATAAGGGTGGTGTCATCTGCATATCTGAGGTTATTGATATTTCACCCAGAAATCTTGATTCCAGCTTGTGCTTCCTCCAGCCCAGCGTTTCTCATGATGTAGTCTGCATATAACTTAAATAAGCAGGGTGACAATATACAGCCTTGACGTACTCCTTTTCCCATTTGGAACCAGTCTGTTGTTCCATGTCCAGTTCTAACTGTTGCTTCCTGACCTGCATACAGGTTTCTCAAGAGGCAGGTTAGGTGGTCTGGTATTCCCATCTCTCAGAATTTTCCAGAGTTTATTGAGATCCACACAATCAAAGGCTTTGGCATAGTCAATAAAGCAGAAATAGATGTTTTTCTGGAACTCTCTTGCTTTTTTGATGATCCAGCAGATGTTGGCAATGTGATCTCTGGTTCCTCTGCCTTTTCTAAAACCAGCTTGAACATCTGGAAGTTCACGGTTCACGTATTGCTGAAGCCTGGCTTGGAGAATTTTAAGCATTACTTTACTAGCGTGTGAGATGAGTGCAATTGTGTGGTAGTTTGAGCATTCTTTGGCATTGCCTTTCTTTGGGATTGGAATGAAAACTGACCTTTTCCAGTCCTGTGGCCACTGCTGACTTTTCTAAATTTGCTGGCATATTGAGTGCAGCACTTTCACAGCATCATCTTTCAGGATCTGAAACAGCTCAACTGGAATTCCATCACCTCCACTAGCTTTGTTTGTAGAGATGCTTCCTAAGGCCCACTTGACTTCACATTCCAGGATGGGCTGGCTCTAGGTGAGTGATCACACCATCATGATTATCTGGGTCGTGAAGATCTTTTTCGTACAGTTCTTCTGTACAAAATTCTTGCCACCTCTTCTTAATATCTTCTGCTTCTGTTAGGTCCCTACCATTTCTGTTCTTTATTGAGCCCATCTTTGCATAAAATGTTCCCTTGGTATCTCAAATTTTCTTGAAGAGATCTCTAGTCTTTCCCATTCTATTGTTTTCCTCTATTTCTTTGCACTGATGGCTGAGGAAGGCTTTCTTATCTCTCCTTGCTATTCTTTGGACCTCTGCATTCAAATGGGTATATCTTTCCTCTTCTCCTTTGCTTTTCGCTTCCCTTCTTTTCACAGCTGTTTGTAAGGCCTCCTCAGACAGACATTTTGCTTTTTTGCATTTCTTTTTCTTGGGTAGGTCTTGATTCCTGTCTCCTGTACAATGTCATGAACCTCCATCCATAGTTCATCAGGCACTCTGTCTATCAGATCTAGTCCCTTAATCTACTTCTCACTTCATGAACTCCTTATTGCAAAATTCAGACTTAAATTGAAGAACGTAGGGAAAACCACTAGGCCATTCAGGTAGGACCTAAATCAAATCCCTTATGATTATACAGTGGAAGTGACAAATAGATTCAAGGGATTAGATCTGATAGACAGAGTGCCTGAAAAACTATGGACAGAAGTTCGTAACATTGTACAGGAGGCAGTGATCAAAACCATCTCTAAGAAAAAGAAATGCAAAAATACAAAATGGCTGTCTGAAGAGGCCTCACAAATAGCTGAGAAAAGAAGAGACGCAAAAGGCAAAGGAGAAAAGAAAAGATATACCCATCTGAATGCAGAGTTCCAAAGGATAGCAAAGAAAGATAAGAAAGTCTATATAAGTGAATATTGCCAAGAAATAGAGGACAATAATAGAATGGGCTCTCCTAGGCCCAGCCTAACCCCCACTGGGCAACACTTAGCAGGTCGAAGGCCAAGGTCTCCTAGATGGCACTAGGACTCTGGGAAAAGAGAAAGTGTCAGAGCCAGCCCTGCCCCAGTCATCAGGAAGTCTCAAGTACTCAGACAGAACACAGCTTTGCAGTCAACCAGCCCTGGGTTCAAACCCTGCTTTCAATCTTCACTAGTTGTATGATTTAGGATTTATAATCTAAATTCTGTGAAGGTTATTTTTCTCCTCCTTCAATTGGAGGTAATATGTATCTCACAGTTTGGCAGCAGCCCTTCTTCCTCATGTGGCTGAGAGCAGATGCTCCAGCTTTCAGCTGCATTATGCCTGGGGTGAGCTCGGGGACCACAGGAAGACAGAGATAGCTAACTCAGTAAGGGAAGGTCTCCTAGAGGACTTAGATTTGTTCTTTGTAACAAGAGACCACAGACTTGAGTTGATCAAAAATTTGGACACTAGGGCAGTATTGGCATAGCTGTTATATGGAGTTGGCCAAAAAGTTCACTCAGGTTTTCCTTCTTTTTAAAAAGTTTATTTTTACTTATTTATTTGCTGCATCAGGTCTTATGCATCATACAAGACCTTTCATGGTGGTGCACGGACTCTCTAGTCTGGCACGCTCTCTAGTCTGGAACATTCTCTAGTATGGCATACTACTCTCTAGCCTGGCACACAGGCTCTAGAGCTCCCAGGCTCAGCAGTCACAGTGTGCAGGCTTAATTTCTCTGTGGCATGTAGAATCTTAGGTCCCCGACCAGGGATAGAACCTGCGTCCTCTGCATTGCAAGGCAGATTCCTAACCACTGGCCCACCTGGGAAGTACCCTCATTTGGGTTTTTCTTTAACAGCTTGTGGAAAAACCTGAACAAATTTTTGACCAACTCAAGTTTGTGGTCTCTTGTTACAAAAAACAAATCTAAGTCCCCTAGGAGACCTTCCCTAACTGGGTTAGCTATCTCTGTCTTCCTGTGGTCCCTGAGTCACCCCAGGCATAACTCCGATCACTGAATACAGTCAGCACCTGAATTCTTGTCTGTCGCCTCCACTGCGTGGAACTTCTTCAGGACAGGCACACTTCTTTGTTGTTGTCGCCAGAGCACAACACAGGATCTGCCCCAACAATAAACTTATATGGAATTTATTCTGATTTTTTTTATAACATACACTAACAAGTTTGAGAAATACAGTTTTCTAATAAACTCTCAGGAAACTGTTACTCAGATTTCACAATTGCCAACATTCTGTTCATCTGATTTTATTAAACTACCTCCCTCTTCTTCTCCCTCTGCAAACCACCTTTCTTTGCTGGAATTTTTTTAATCAAATCCCCAACATTAATATTATCATAGCAACAAACTTTTCCAGATGTATTTCTAATACATAAGGAATTTTTTAACACAACACACAAAATTAATGGTAATTCTTTAATATTGTCTAATGCCCAATCCATGTTCAGATTTCCTGAATTGTCTCCAAGGTATCTTTTGCAGTTGTTTTGATCCAATCAGAATCCAAATCAGGTATACCCATTGCATTTGGTTGGTATGTGTATAAAGTCATTTTTAAATAAACACTTCCTCCTTCACCCCCTTATCCATGCTATCTAATTGTTGATGAAATCAGGTCATTTGCTTGTAGAATTGCCTGTATCTGGATTTGGCTGATGGAATCCTCAAGTCTTTGTTTAATTCTTGCCTCTATTTCCTATAAATTAGTTAGGTTGGAGGCTTCATTAGACTCAGAATTCTTCTGAGGAATATACTCATTCCTGTTCTATTCTATCTTGAGGCACACGGGTCTTTTGCCCCACTTTTACTAGTGCCAAACCTAATGGTTTCAGTAGCTCTTGATGTGTGTTTTAAATTTAACTGAATGGAAGTAGGAGACAAGAAAGCCTATCTAATGATGCTGGAGAGCTGGTGAAATCTAGATGGTTGAATAGGAATTTGATTTAGCAGAGAAAATAGGGCAGGTATAGGGAACCATGTGTGCAAAGGCAAGACCCTGAGAGGAAGTGCAAGGATTCTGGCATGGGCAGAGGAGTGGGGAACTGGAAGATACAGTTAGAAGTGACCGGGGTCCAGACAGTAAAGGCTTTTACATGCCCTGAGGAATCAGTGATGTCCTTGATCAGAGCAGGCAGATCAGACCTGATTTTTAGACAACTCTGGCTGCAGTGGGAGGCTCCCATGCAGATGGGGACCTACCAGTGATGAGACTCCGGGCAGGAAAAATCTGGGCAATTAATGGGCAGAAGTAGGCCACAGTCCCTGGGAGTAAGAGTGCATTTGGAAAATGTTTGGAATTGAGAAATTTTGTTGGCTGTTGTTAGTTGTGGGTGGTGAGAGTCCCCCAGTTTCACTAAGATGCAGAGAGAGAGCTGAGGGGCCAGTGTAGGATGGGGCGAGGGTAAGGGGTATAAAAGAAGTTGCTTGGCTGTAGCAGAAGGTGCAGGGTGGACAGGGTCTGACCAGTCGAGTGTGGCCTCTTCCATGGTGGTAAGAGGTGAACTGTTGGATGTGAGGGTCTGCAGCCCAGGAGAGCGGCTGGGGCTGGCTGGACCCTTCTGAGTCACACTGACAGCTGGGCCCCCTCATTCATCAAAGTTATTTATTGAGCACCTACCAGGCACTAGGAGTAAAGCAGAGGACAAAACAGACAAAATTCCTTTCTTCCTGGAACTCTCTAGGTGGGGTGAAGTGAAAGTCACACAGCCGTGTCCGACTCTGAGATCCCATGTACTGTAGCCTGCCTGGATCCTCTGTCCATGGGATTCTCCAGGCAAGAATACTGGAGTGGGTTGCCAGGCCCTCCTCCAGGGGATCTTCCCAACAAAGGGGTCAAACCTGGGTCTCCTGCCTTGCAGGCAGATTTTTTACCAAATGAGCTACTAGGGAAGCCCCTAGGTGGGGTGGGAACACAGTTAACAAGTGACATGTATAAAAATTGAGGCGGGAAAGAGAGCAAAGCAGGAAAGGGAAGACTGCAGTGTTAAGTGAGTGATCAGAGAAGGCCTCACCGGTAAGGCGACACACGAAAAGAAATCAGAAAGAAGTAATAAGCAAGGTGGGCTTCCCAGGTGGTTAGTGGTAAAGAATCAACCTGCCAATGCAGGAGAAATAAGAGCCGTGGGTTCTATCCCTGGGTTGGGAAGATCTCCTGGAGGAGGGCGTGGCAACCCACTCCAGTATTATTGCCTGCCGAATACCATGGACAGAGGAGCCTGGCGGGCTACAGTCTGTGGGGTCCCAAAGAGTCAGACACCACTGAGCGACTGAGCACAAGAGGGGGACTGAAGGGGAGCAAGGCCTTGTGAGGACTTTGGCTTTTACTCCGAGCGTGATGGGCCTCATCGGCCGTAAGCAGAGCGTTCTTTTCTCAGCCTCCACCTCCTCCTCCCCAAACCTCAAAGTATGGCTCTTCCACTCACCCATGCTCCCACCAGCGTGGACCCTCTGCCCTGCCCCAAATGCAACATGAGACCTAGGCCAAATAGGACAGGCCTTCACAAAAGCCTCCAGGAGGAGGAGGCAAAGACCTGGGCCCATACACCCATGTTCATAGCAGCATTATTCCCAATAGTCAAAAGACAGCAACAACCCAAGAGCACATCAACAGAGGAATGGATAAACAGCGTGATATATACATATGATGGAATATCATTCGGCCTTAAAAAGGAAGGGAATTCCGACGCATGAAACCATGTGGATGAATCTTGAAGGCGTTGTAGTTGTAGTAAGTGAAGTAAGCCAGGCACAAAAGAAAAAATAATGTATGAGTCCACTTATAGGGGGTATCTAGAATAGTCAGTTCATAGAGCCGGAAAGTAGAATAGTTGTTGCCAGGAATTGGAAAGAGGGAAGAGCAGGGAGTTACTGTTTATTTGGTATAGTTTTTCTGTTTGAGCTGATGAAAAAGTTTGGGGAATAAAGGGTAGTGGTTGCCCAACATTTTGAATGTACTTAAAACCACTGAAATATATGTCTCAAAATGGTTAAAACAGTAAATTTTATCTTATGTATATTTTTCCACATCTTTTTTTCAAAAGAAAAAGGAGACCTGGGCCCAGATTGGCCTCTGCCTGTAACTCCTCTCTGGCTAGTATCCTCCCATGCAAATGAGGGGTTCCACGGATGGACTTAAGGGAATCCTTTACAAAAGCTGTAAGCAAAATCGACGCCTCTCTTCAGATGCAAGAAGCGTAAGATCTACTTTAAGTGGGAAAAAAATAATGTTCAGAGTAGAATGGGTAGTATCATACTGCCACTTAAATAAAAAAAGGAACAACTAGGGACTTCTCTGGTGGTGCAGTGGATAAAAATCTGCCTGCCAGTGCAGGGAACATGGTTCAATCTACTGAGCCCGTGCTCTAGTGTCCAAGAGCCCCAACTACTGAAGCATGTTGGCCTAGAGCTGTGCTCCTCAACAAGAGAAGCCACCTCAATGCATACTGGGAGAAGCCTGCATATTGGGAGAGGCCTGCATACTGGGAGAGGCCTGCATACTGGGAGAAGAGTAGCCCCTGCTCCCCACAACTGGAGAAAGACCCAGTGCAGTCAAAAATAATTAATAAAAAAATTAATAAATTAATTGATTTTTTAAAGGGGGAACAATTATATATTGTTTGTACCTGCATCCATCTATTTCCTGGAGAACACATCTATTTCTGGTAACCTGCTGGGGGGAACTCAGTGGCTGGACAAGGAGATGAAGAAAGAAACTGTTGACCTATACTCTCTATCTTTGAATTTTAACATTGTGTAAATATCTAAACAAATAAACCTAAATAGGGCTTCCCTGGTAGCTCAGTGGTAAAGAATCCGCCTGCCAGTGCAGGACACAGAGGTTCGATCCCTGATCCGGGAGGATCCCATATGCTGCCCAGCAACTTAAGCCCGTGGGCCACAACTATTGAGCCTGTGCTCTGGAACCAGGCAGCCACGGACTAGTGAGCCCACATGCTGCAACGACTGAAGTCCGGGCGCCCAAGAGCCGGCGCTCCGCAACAAGAGAAAGCCACTGCAACCAGAAGCTTGCTCACCGCAAGGAGAGAAAACCCCGCGGGGAGCAACCAACACCCAGAATGGCCAAAAATATATAAAACAAAAATAAACCTAAATACATTCTGGACGAATTCGATGGCGCTTCTGGAAATAGAGGCAGGGCCCCACCCCCGATAGTCTGCTGACTACAGAGGCAGAGAAGTCATCACGTTTGCCGGAGACCAAGAGCAGTATCTCCGCGCTCTCTGTTCCGGCAGTGCTCACAGCAAGTCCCCGGACGTTATCGCGTGGAGAGCTCCGGAAGGTTTATTATCTCGGTTTGCAGATGACGAAACCAAGGCGGAGAGAGTCTCCGCCTCACCTTGGCTCCGGGTGGGGACAGGGGAGCGGGCCAGGGACCTCCTTCTCCCAGGGGCCCCAGCCTCGCCCTTGTGCCGGGCGGACGGCTCTCGCGCGCCCCTCGCAGGCCCGCCGGGAGCCTTTTATCGGATGAAGTGGGCGGTGTTCTCTGGTTGGCAGAATAAAGGCACCTTGGGCTGGGGACAAAGCCTAGACACTGTGTGTGTGTGTGTGTGTGTGTGTGTAAGAAAAAGTGTGTGAGGTTCCAGTGTGTCTGAATCTTTGTGAGTCTGCTGTATGCGTGTGCGCCGGCGGTGAGTTGACTCTGTTAGAGTTGGGGGTGTGTGTGCATGGGTGAAATGGGGGTGTTTGGGTACATGTGTGCTCATGTGTCGCCGCGCAGGGCAATCCCTGTCCTTGACGATACCGCTCTGGTGTCACCTCTGTGAAACCACCCTGACCTCCCTGGCCAGCATCACTCAGTCTCTCTCCTGGTGCCCTCCGTCCTGGACACAGCTCCATCACCCCGCCTGACACACATCCTTTATTAAACCTTACTGCTAACATCCCTGTCCCTCTCCTGTCTGGGCAGGGAGCCGAAGTCTGCACGGGACAGGGCACATGATGGCCCATCCATGCTTGTGTGCATGTTTGATGTCACATGAGAAGCCTGTGTATGTTGGAAGGTGTCAGGGGGTGGGGAAGGGTCCCATCTGACAAAGTTAAGTACACTCACTCTGTTTGGATACTGGGGGGCCTATAGTCCTTCTCCCAGATTTCTCCCCCACAGGCCTCCTACTCAGAGCTGCCCAACCCCATGACAAAGGGCAGGCCATCTCTCATGTGGTTACTTATGGACCCAGGGTCAGCCAGACTGCTTTTTCCTCTGTGGCCTGATTTTAGGGCAAGGCATCTGTCCGTCAACTGGATAGGATAGGGGCTGCCTTGGGACACCAGTCCCCACCTCCTGTTGGCCGCTTGGGACTTGGATCTCTGGGATTCTTGTCCTCCCAACTGGTCCTGGAGTCAGTTCGAAATTGCCAGATCAAACTTAATGTCTCTCTCCAACCCCCAAGAACAAGGCCTGAATTCTCAGTCCCTGAGGTCTATTATGTTATGTTCACTCTAGTAACAGCTGTTGTGCATTTTTATTTGTTCTGTCTTCTGCAGATAGAGCCTAGGACTCCAGGATCAGTCCCCCTGTTAAGGAGAAGTCCTTCCTCCTGTTTATCTTCTTTCTTTTCCAATCAAGGTCTGAAGCTTCTCCTCTTCTCTTCCAGAAACAGTGCTGAAAGGAAAAAATAGAGCTTAAATGGTTACACTACTCAGACTCCAGAACTACACTCTCTGGAGTGGTTGGCCCAGCTCCACCAGTGGCAAGATTTTTAGCTCCAGGCAAGTGTGTCAAATCAAAGTCTTTCTCAAATTGGATAATTCAAGGACTGTTTCATAAAAGGATTATGTGCAAAGGTATGGGCAGAGTATTGGTGAACCGCAAGGAATAGTGGGTGCATTACCCCCAAGCTAGTAGCAGTGGCTTAGTTACCGCCCTCAGGGGCCCAGGAGATGGAGGGAGCATGGTTCCTAGAATCTGAAGAGAGAGGGCCCCCCAGAAAGCAGACGGCAGGTGCTGTGATCTACAACAACCCCACAGAGGGAGGGCAGGGACACACCCAGACTCACTCTCCTCTAACTCATCTCCTGTCGGTGCTGTTCTCCAGCCAACCCCTACAGAAGTCACGGGACAAGGCCCTCAGCCTCCTGGTTGAGCAGAGTGGAAAGGCTAAAGAAAGGATATGGAGTGGCAACAGAAGTAATCCAACACACCCTGCTAGCCTGAGTTCCCTCATCGGTAAAACAGGCTGTTAGGGGAATTCCCTGGCAGTCCAGTGGTTAGGACTCTGATTTCACTGCTAGGGCCTGGGTTCAATCCCTGGTCACAGAAATAAGCTCCCACAAGCCACACATGCAGCCAAACTAACTTAAAATGAAACAAACCGGGCTATTAGTCCCACCTTGCCTCTAGATTGTCCTGATGATAAAAGGTGAGGATGTGTATGAGGCCTTGCATGTTGTACCAGCACATGCTGTGTGCTCAGTGAACAGACCCAGTGGCCTGCCTGTTGATTGTAATGATGAACTGACATGGCAAACTTGTGTGCCTCCTCAGTCGATTCATTCGTGTCCAACTCTGTGACCCTATAGACTGTAGAGGCCAGGCTCTTCTGTCCATGAGATTCTCCAGGCAAGAAGACTGAAATGCGTTGCCATGCCCTCTTCCAGGGGATCTTCCCGACCCAGGGATCGAACCCACGCCTCTTATGTTCCCTTCATCGGCAGGCGGGTTCCTATCTAAAACAGAGACCTTGAATGTTTTCCACTGCAAATCTCTCTTCCCTTCCTGACCTGAGTGCTCAAGCCAGAGTCCCTCGGTGCCATGCTTTTGGGTCTGGAGGCCTTGCTCTGCCTCTCCCCACGTGGCACCATCATTCCATTCTGTCTGCTCTTCTCCAACATACATCTCAGATCTGGTTCCCACTCTCCATCTTCACCGCCACTTTGCTAGTCCTCCCACCTTGATTTCCCCTAAAACTCCTCACTGGTCCTCCTTCACCTACTGTCTGGTCTCTAAAGCGTCAGTAGACTGCCAGCCTCCTGGACGAGCCCACTGCCCTCCAAGGCCCTGCTTCTGTCTCCAGTTTCACAGGGACTATGCGCCTCTATTCTCTCTGCAGCTTGCCCTGGCTAGCACCAGGCTTTTCCTTCCTCAGAGTCTTGGCATATGTTATTTCCAACCCCACAGAAAACTTGTGCCAAATTGTCCCCACTGGTTCTTTCTCCTCCAAATCTCAGCTTAAATATGATCACTGCAGGGACTTCCCTGGTGGTCCAGTGGTTAAGATTCCATGCTTCCAGTGCAGGGGGCCCAAGTTCAATCTCTGGTCAGGGAACTAGATCCTGCATGCTGCAACTAAGACCTGACATGGCCAAGTAAAGAAATGTCGTTAAAAATATATGATCACATCAAAGTGGCTTTCCCCAACCACCTCATCTAAAACACTTCCCCTTCTCCTCACAGGCTTCTCTGTTCCAGCACCATGATGCATTTCTTCATAGAATTTACAAAGTATGTAGTTATATATTTATTTGCTTAACACTTGTTTATAGTCTGTCTTATCACCATACTAAAAATTCCATAGAAGGGCATGGGCTCTATTTCGCTTACCACTGCATCCTCAGGACCTGGCATAGAGTAAGTGCTCAATAAATATTGCAAATGGTCATTGAGCAGACAGAAGCCAATGTGATAATGACAATGATGCTATCAGAGCCCTTCTAGAGAATCTCACTGCATGATCAAAATGTTCCCCATCCCCTTTCTTCAACCTCTAGTCCCTACCCTAGATCCCCTGCTTCCTAGATCCATCTAGGGCTAACTTCAGCAAAGTACAAAGGGACCATAGTGAAAGTGAAAGTTGCTCAGTTGTGTCTGACTCTCTGCGATCCCATGGACTACACAGTCCATGGAATTCTCCAGTCCAGAATACTGGAGTGAGTAGCCATTTCCTTCTCCAGGGGATCTTCCCAACCCAGGGATCGAACCCAGGTCTCCCGCATTGCAGGTGGATTCTTTACCAGCTGAGCTACCAGGGAAGCCCCTCAAAGGGACCATATTACTGGCAAAAAAAAAAATCTCTATTCAGGTTGATGACCAGACAAAATGGATGAATTAAAAATTTATCAGGAAAAATGGATTGGAGAAGGGCAGAATGCCAGAAGACAGGGGCAGAGAGCCAGCAGGTCCAGGGGAGGGACTCTGAGTGGGGGTAGGGGTGGCCCACTGGGTGTGCCCCTTTTCTTTTTTCTGGCTCCTTTTGATAAGACCAGCAGTTTTGTTATCCTCTCCCCGTTCTCTCTCCACAGTCCAGGAGGCTGCAGCTCTGAATTTTGAAGCATGTCAGGGCAGGAGAACATGCCCCCCAACTGGCTCTGGTCATGGCTTTCTAAGTCCCAACGGGATTTATTGAAGTCCATCCTGACTGGGGCTCCAGGAGGTAAGAAGGGGCACCAGATGCCATTGAAGAGAAGGGGAGAAATGCTGCTGGCTAGGAGGTATTTGGGGAGGATCTGTGTTCAGAGTCTCCTCCATGTTAATTTATAGACCCTAGTCTGGGCCTCTTCTCCCAACCCCAATAGGCAGGGCAGAGGGGAGCTTGCAGCCTGGGAGCCAAGGGGCATTCTTGTGACTGCTGGACTCTGGCCCCTGGTGCACAGGACTTCCAGTGAGAGGGGAGGCACTGGTGACACTTCAACCAGGATACAGAGCTGGTTCCCCGCCCAGCCAGCCTCCTGCCTCCAACCATTAACAGTATAGAGCAGATCCCCGGAGACAGACAGGTGTGCAGTGGCATGGAACGTGTGGCTGGTACTGGGGGTCCTCTTCCTCTGAGCTGGGCTGGGGCAAGCTACAGAGACTTCAGGACCTGGAGTAGCACTGAAGAGGCTGAGGAAACTCAAAGGAGGGAGTGGGAGGCCAGTCATTTGTCAGGGGCTGGAGGGAAGAAGACAGGAACCTTAGGAAGGGGAACTGGGTGTTTCTCGGCCTGGAGATGAAGGGCCACTGTGGACTAGATATCAAGGGGGGCTGAGGCTGAGAGAAGTCAGCAGCTAAAGGGCAAGAAGTCTGAGGTTGTGAGGGACCAGATAGCTAGGTGATCAAGAATTTGAGCCTGGAGTTAGTCAGACCTAAATGGGAATCTTATCTCTGTTCATTAGAAGCTATACAACCTTGGGCAACTGATTTAACCTTTCTCAGCCTCTGTTTCCTTACCTAGAAGATGGGGATAATTACAGAGCATATAACAGTACCTGCTTACTAGCGTCCTGGTGACTAAATAAGATAATATATGCATAATGCCCAGCTCATAAGACTCAACAAAAACTGGAAAACTGAGGGAAGGAACAGAAAGCGCGCTGAGATGAAAGGATAGGGACCAGAGGCAGGTGCCCATGCAGCCCCTTTCTACTGCAGGACCAGCGGGGTACCTGCGGCGGGCTAGTGTGGCCCAGATGACCCAGGAGCTGGGCATTTCCTTCTTCCAGCGGCAGCAGCTGCCAGCCGCCATGGCAGACACCTTCCTGGAACATCTGTGCCTGCTGGACATCGACTCTGAGCCTGTGGTCCCTCGCAGTACCAGCATCATCGCCACCATCGGTAAGCACCCCCACCCCCCCTGCAGTGTCACACGGGCTCATGTGTGTTTCTCAAGGTGCTGCCTCATCTTTTGTGTTCTTTGAGACTTCTTGTTTGACTGAGGGATAAATAAATAAATATATATTTTAAAAAATTATTTATTTATGGCTGCACGGGGTCATTGCTGCAAGAGGGCTTTCTCTGATTGCGGAGGGCAGGGGCTCCTCTCTAGCTGTGGTGTGCAGGCTCCTCATTGCAGTGGCTTCTTCTGTAGAGCATGGACTCTGGGACAAGTGCGCTCAGTCTCTGTGGCTTGGAGTCTCTAGAACAAGGCTCGGCAGTCGTGCTGCACAGGCTTAGTTACCCTGAAACATGTGGGATCTTCCTGGATCAGGAGTCAAATCGGAGTCCCCTGCATTGCAAGGGAGATTCTTAACCACTGGACAACTTCAGAAGCCCAACAAATATTTGTTGAGTGCTTGGTAAATAAGCTTCTGGGTCCTGGGAGTAGGTCAGTGAAATGAAATAAACAGACAGGGACTTCTCTGATTAGAATTCCATGCTTCCACTGCAGAGGGCCCAGGTTCTGTCCCTAGCTGGGGAAGTAGATCTCACTTGCACAGCATAGCCAAATAAGTAAAAATAATTATTTTTTTAAAAAGAGACTCCCCTGGTGGTCCAGTGGCTAAGACTCCATGCTCCCAACACAGGAAGCCCAGGTTCAATCCCTGGTCAAGCAACTAGAACCCACATGCCACAACTAAGACCCAGCATAACCAAATAAATAAATATTAAAAAGAAAAAAACAGACAAAGATCCCTACTCTTGGGGAGCTGACAATCTAGCTGGGTGGGACAATAGTAAATATAATAAGTTATTTTAAAAATAAGGAAAGTATTTAGTATATTAGAAACTGATAAGTACTATGGAAAAAAATTTAAAAAAAATCAAGCATGAGAACGGGTATTAAAATGCAAGGGCAGGAGAGAGGCTGTAGTCCTAATAGGGAGTCAGGGTAGCCATGGTTGAGAAAACTAGACCTGAGCGAAGACTTGAGGGGGATGAGAAAACGAGCCATGCAGATGTCTGAGGGAAGAGAGTTCCAGGCAAAGGGAATAGTCAGTGCCAAGGCCCTAAGCCAAGGAGGCCGGAAACCATCAAGGGGAAGAGCAGCAAAATGAAGAGACTGGAGGAAGGGGAAGATCATGGCGGGTTTAGTAGGCCATTTTTAGAATTTGAGTTGAGTTTCACTCCAAGTGCAATGCGAAGCTGAAACCACTGTAGTTTTGAGCAGGAGTTACATGCTGTTACTTGGGTCTTAACAGAACTGCCCTGGCTGCTATATTGAAAGTAGACTGGGGTTGGGGGTGGGGGTGAGCGCTGGAGCTGCTCTGGCAGTATCTCTGGTTTAGACCAGGTGGTGGCTGTGGAGCTGCTGAAGGGACGATATTCTGAATGCATTTTGAAGGTTGAGCCAACAGGATATGATGGATCTGGGTGGGGGTCGGGGTGAAAAAGGAGTCAAGGACTAGTCCCAGTGTTTTGGCGTGAGGAGCTAGAAGAACCCATTATCAACTGAGCAGGAGAGGCTGTGGTGGAAAGGTTTAGAGGAGAGATCAGTTCAGTTTGGGGCTTGTTGAGTTTGATTACACATGTTAGACACACAAGTGTGGTGCAGAGTAGGCAATCAGATACACAACTCTGGTTTGGGGAGAGGGGTCTAAACTGGAGATGTAAATTTGGAAGTTGTTGACATACCGATGGTATGTAAAGCCATGAGACTTGTTGAGACTACCAAGGGAGTGAAAGTAAAATGAGAGAAGAGGAGTGGTCATCTAATGGGAGCTAAGGCTGAAAGGGAGCAGCCAGTGAGGTAGAACTAAACCAGGAGAGGCTGGTGCTCTGGAGGCCAAGCAGAGAATGTATGTCAAAGGTGTGTGTCAAATACTGCTGACAGACCCGCCAGTGATGAGGACTAACCACTGGATTTAGCAACAACACAGAGGTTGTTGACTAGAGATCTCTTCAAGAAAATTAGAGATACCAAGGGAACATTTCATGCAAAGATGGGCTCAATAAAGAACAGAAATGGTATGGACCTAACAGAAGCAGAAGATATTAAGAAGAGGTGGCAAGAATTTTGTACAGAAGAACTGTACAAAAAAAATCTTCACGACCCAGATAATCACGATGGTGTGATCACTCACCTAGAGCCAGACATCCTGGAATGTGAAGTCAAGTGGGCCTTAGGAAGCATCTCTACAAACAAAGCTAGTGGAGGTGATGGAATTCCAGTTGAGCTGTTTCAGATCCTGAAAGATGATGCTGTGAAAGTGCTGCACTCAATATGCCAGCAAATTTAGAAAAGTCAGCAGTGGCCACAGGACTGGAAAAGGTCAATTTTCATTCCAATCCCAAAGAAAGGCAATGCCAAAGAATGCTCAAACTACCACACAGTTGCACTCATCTCACACGCTAGTAAAGTAATGCTTAAAATTCTCCAAGCCAGGCTTCAGCAATACGTGAACCGTGAACTTCCAGATGTTCAAGCTGGTTTTAGAAAAGGCAGAGGAACCAGAGATCACATTGCCAACATCTGCTGGATCATCAAAAAAGCAAGAGAGTTCCAGAAAAACATCTATTTCTGCTTTATTGACTATGCCAAAGCCTTTGATTGTGTGGATCACAATAAACTGTGGAAAATTCTGAAAGAGATGGGAATACCAGACCACCTAACCTGCCTCTTGAGAAACCTGTATGCAGGTCAGGAAGCAACAGTTAAACTGGACATGGAACAACAGACTGGTTCCAAATGGGAAAAGGAGTACGTCAAAGCTATATATTGTTACCTTGCTTATTTAACTTATATGCAGACTACATTATGAGAAATGCTGGGCTGGAGGAAGCACAAGCTGGAATCAAGATTGCTGGGAGAAATATCAATAACCTCAGATATGCAGATGACACCACCTTTATGGCAGAAAGTGAAGAGGAACTAAACAGCCTCTTGATGAAAGTGAAAGAGGAGAGTGAAAAAGTTGGCCTAAAGCTCAACATTCAGAAAACTAGGATCATGGCATCCGGTTCCATCACTTCATGGCAAATAGATGGGGAAACAGTGGAAACAGTGGCTGACTTTATTTTTCTGGGCTCCAAAATCACTGCAGGTGGTGATTGCAGCCATGAAATCAAAAGACACTTACTCCTTGGAAGGAAAGTTATGACCAACCTAGACAGCATATTAAAAAGCAGAGGCATTACTTTGCCAACAAAGATCCGTCTAGTCAAGCCTATGGTTTTCCCAGTGGTCAGGTATGGATGTGAAAGTTGGACTGTGAAGAAAGCTGAGCACCGAAGAATTGATGCTTTTGAACTGTGGTGTTGGAGAAGACTCTTGAGAGTCCCTTGGACTGCAAGGAGATCCAACCAGTCCATCCTAAAGGAAATCAGTCCTGTAAGGACTGATGTTGATGCTGAAACTCCAATACTTTGGCCACCTGATGGGAAGAGCTGACTCATTGGAAAAGACCCTGATGCTGGGAAAGATTGAGGACAGGAGGAGAAGGGGACGACAGAGGATGAGATGGTTGGATGGCATCACCGACTCGATGGACATGGGTTTGAGTCAACTCTGGAAGTTGGTGATGGACAGGGAGGCCTGGCGTGCTGTATTTCATGCAGTCGCAAAGAGTCGGACAAGACTGAGCGACAGAACTGAACTGAACTGACAGAGGTTGTTGGTGACCTTGACAAGAACAGATGTAATGGAGAGTGGTACAGGGAGAATAGGGGGAGGGGATACAGAGATAACTCTTGTCATGAGTTTTGCTGCGCTAGTGAGCAAAGGAATAGGGCTGTGTAGCTAGAGGGGGAACTGAAATTAGGAGAATTTGTTGTTGTTGGATGAAATAACACCAGGCTTACATGCTGATGGGAGTGATCTAACAGAAAAGGAAAACATCGATGACATAAAGAACTGGGGGAACTGCTGAATCTGTTTTTGATCGGGTGAGAAGGAGACCCAGTACACAGTGGAAGAACTGGCTGGGTCTCAGTTACTCAGCTGTCCTACCAGCAGGGAAGCAATCAATGTAACTCAACTCTCCTCAGTCCAACAGGAAGGAGGCTCTAAAGCTTGGCACCCATCCCCTTCTCATTCACTGGGGTTTCCCCCACACTGCAGTGCCTAACATCAAGGCCAGCACTGTCGCCTCAGGCCTGGGTGAGCCCACCCTTCTAGGGCCTTGCAGTGCAAGGAGGCGGGTCTTAGCTGGAGAGTAGAACGCGGTTTCCTATCTGTGTGCAGGGGTGGGGTCAGGGGACAAAGGTCGGGTGACAGGACTTCTGCGGCCTGGGGCGGCCCCGAGGGTGATGATGGGTTCGGTTGTCACTCAGGTTTGGTGAGAAAGTTGTCTGAATGGGGTCTCTGGTTCCAGGGCCGGCATCTCGCTCCGTGGAGCGCCTCAAGGAGATGATCAGGGCCGGGATGAACATCGCGAGACTCAACTTCTCCCACGGCTCCCACGAGGTTCAGGGCGGGGCCACGGGGAGACGGGTGGGGCTAGAGGATGCCCCGAGGTCCCGGCCAGCTTCCCCTGAAATCCTCGCTTTGTTCTGGTCCCTAGTACCATGCTGAGTCCATCGCTAACATCCGTGAGGCGGTGGAGAGCTTTGCAGATTCTCCGCTCAGCTACCGACCTGTGGCCATCGCTCTGGACACCAAGGGACCAGAGATACGCACTGGGATCCTGCAAGGGGTGAGAGAGGACCCGCGACCCGCCGTGTTCTGGGGCCGGCGAATAGGGCGGTGCGGCGTGAAGGAAGTTGTCCGTAGGGCGGAGCATTGGGAGGGGCCGGCCCTGACTGCCGCCGGCCGAACTCAGCTTTCCTCTGGCCCCGCCCCTAGGGCCCGGAGTCCGAAGTGGAGATAGTGAAGGGCTCCCAGGTGCTGGTGACGGTGGATCCAGAGTTCCGGACGCGCGGGGACGCGAACACCGTTTGGGTGGACTACCCCAATTTAGTCCGAGTCGTGCCGGTGGGGGGCCGCATCTACATTGACGACGGGCTCATCTCCCTAGTGGTCAAGGAAATCGGTGCGAACGAGCCTCCTGCCCTGGTCCTGCGCAGTGGGCCCTTCTTCCTTTCGGTCCCGCCTGCGCCCTTCACTCCCACCAAACCTTCCCGAGCCCCTGGCATCCAGACTCCTGGGCTGCCCTGGGCTGGGGCTGGATTGGCGGGTTAAAAGTTTCTTCCACAGACGTCCACCCTGCGCTATTCGGTGCAGAGCCCAGGCTGAGCATGAAGAAACAAATAAGACATCATTCCGTTTTCTTGCGGGTCCAAGCCCGGTGTTCCCACTGCTGTGACTATGCCCCCGGCCTCACCCCTAACCTAGGCGGACTCTTTCCATACCCGCAGGTCCAAAAGGGCTAAAGACCGAAGTGGAGAACGGCGGTGTCCTGGGAAGTCGGAAGGGCGTGAACTTGCCAGGCGCGGAGGTGGACCTGCCCGGGCTGTCCGAGCAAGATATCCAGGACCTGCGCTTCGGGGTGGAGCATGGCGTGGACATCGTCTTTGCCTCTTTCGTGCGGAAAGCCAGCGACGTGGCTGCCGTCCGGGCTGCTCTGGGGCCGGAAGGACAGGGCATCAAGATCGTTAGCAAAATCGAGAACCACGAGGGCGTAAAGAAGTGAGACTTGGTCTTTGTTCCCATCAGGCCCTACGCATCCCCATCTTCCTCCTCTTTCCCTGCCTGCCTCTCTCTGGCTTCTCTTGGGTCTGTCCCAGCCCTGACTTCCCCAACCGCCCAGGTTTGATGAGATCCTGGAGGTGAGCGACGGCATTATGGTGGCACGGGGTGACCTGGGCATTGAGATCCCAGCCGAGAAGGTTTTCCTGGCTCAGAAGATGATGATCGGCCGTTGCAACTTGGCGGGAAAGCCCGTTGTCTGTGCTACACAGGTCTGCCACGAGCCCTGGGGGCAGGGCCCTCTATGAGTCTGGGAACACAGGGGGTGAATACTCACACCTTAGGTCTCTAGCATGTTTTGCTGTCCAATGTTTGACCCTCAAACAACAAAGCTAGGAAGACCTACTGTGACCCCCGTTTTCAGATGAGGAAACAGAGCAGCCAGGATCACACAGTTTGTGAGTGTGACTCTGGTTTTCAGGGCCCTCTGAGTGTGGATGTCAGAGACGTAGTCAGGGCAGGGTCCCCAGTCAGATATGACTCCTACAGCTCTGACCGCAAGATATCCCCCAGATGCTGGAGAGCATGATCACTAAGCCCCGGCCAACTCGGGCAGAGACGAGTGATGTGGCCAATGCCGTGCTGGATGGGGCAGACTGCATCATGCTGTCGGGGGAGACTGCCAAAGGCAACTTTCCTGTGGAGGCTGTAAAGATGCAGCATGCGGTAGGAGCTCAGAATGCAAGGCAAATGGGCTGGAAAACCATCCCCCTTCCAGATCCCAATACCCTTGCCCAGCCTGACTTCCTGGTGCCCACAGATTGCCCGAGAGGCAGAGGCTGCCGTGTACCACCGGCAGCTCTTTGAGGAGCTCCGCCGGGCGGCACCACTGAGCCGGGATCCCACGGAGGTCACCGCTATTGGTGCTGTGGAGGCTGCCTTCAAGTGCTGCGCTGCTGCCATCATCGTGCTGACCACAACTGGCCGGTGAGAACACTGGGAACACAGCAGGACACAGCTTTGGGCCCAGGGCAGGCTGGGATGGGCCCCAAGCGTGGTTTTTGTCTCATCATCAGAGATCTTTCTGGGGTAAGAAGCTTCTCTTCTTACCCCAGAGAAGAGAAGAGAAGAGAAGCTATGGGAGCTGGAAGCCTAGAGAGACAGATCTTGGAGCACACCGGGAATTGTGCCTCTCTCCTCAAGGGTTTGGGAGGGCAAGCTGGCATCACTGGGTGCACTGACTTCCAGGCCATCCGGGCTCCCAGGGCTCAGGAACAGGTCTTCTGCATTTAGCCCACAAAGCTTTGCAATGCTGGGGTATTACAGAAGGCTCCAGAAGGTTTGAATTCAAATCTTTGCTCTGAAACTTAGCTATGACATCTTGGGTAGGTCACCCAGTTTCTATAATCCTCCTCCATTTGCTCATGGGGTTATGAGGATTAACAAGAAGCATTTTTTAAAGTTAAATACTATATAAAGATGCATGCCCAGAAGGGTTTCTGTTTTTCAAAGAGGTTTCTCCTTATTATCTCATTTGATTTTTTTTTTTTTTAGTCATCTCATAGTTTCCCCATGTGGTCAGAAAGGCAGGTATTCTCATATCCACTTTATGGGTGAGAAAACTAAGGCCCAGAAAAGATACAGTGACTTACCTAGGGTCACACAGCTTATTGGTGGCACCTGGAACCTGAACCCAGCACTCTTCCAACATTCTGGGCTGACCTTGTCTGCCTCCTTCAGCTCAGCCCAGCTTCTGTCTCGGTACCGACCTCGGGCAGCGGTCATTGCCGTCACCCGCTCTGCTCAGGCCGCCCGCCAGGCCCACCTGTGCAGAGGAGTCTTCCCTGTGCTCTACTGTGAGCCTCCAGAGGACATCTGGGCCGACGATGTGGACCGCCGGGTCCAGTTTGGCATCGAAAGCGGTGAGCCCCCTCGCTCCCTCCCACCCTCCACTGGATTTGTATCCTGAGTCCTCCAACCCCACTTCCTACGCTCACCCAAAGGGTCTTGCCTCTTTCCTCTGGTCCCAGGTTTTCTCTGTGAGATTCACTAAGACTGAGATACTTGAGTCTCCAGGGGTGGGGGGAACATGCTGAGAGAGGGCAGAGGGAGCGAGGGCAGGGACCACGGCCATCCCTAAGCGGTTGGCACAGCTGCTGCCTCCACCAGATGGCTAGAGCTGGGCATGACACAAGGAGCAAGAGATGAGAGGAGAAAGAGGGACCCAGGGCCCTGCAGCTGCAACTGAAATGGAATGGACAGTTGCTATGCTCATACCCGGGGCTTCCCTGGTAGCTCAGCTGGTAAAGAATGTGCCTGCAATGCAGGAGACCCTGGATTGATTCCTGGGTGGGGAAGACCCCCTGGAGAAGAGATCGGCTACCCACCCCAGTATTCTTGGGCTTCTGGGTGGCTCAGACAGTGAAGAATCTGCCTGCAGTGCGGGAGACCTGGGTTCCATCCCTGGGTTGGGAAAATCCCCTGGAGGAGGAAATGGCAACCCACTCCAGTATTCTTGCCTGGAGAATCCCCATGGACAGAGGAGCCTGGCAGGCTACAGTCCCTAGGGGTCTCAAAGAGTCGACATGACTGAGCGCCTAAGCACAGCACATGCTCATACTCCACCTCTTTCCGTCTGCACAGCCACACAGGTGGATAGACTTGCTACTTAGCAACACGCCCATGCCACCCATGGGCACAGCTGCAGCTCTCACCGCCTACAGTGGTCACATTCCCTGCAGTGCCACCTGCGGGACACACCATACCCTTTGCCTCAGGCCCCTCCTTCCTTACTGGGTGGCCTTGAGGAAGGCGGTGAAGGGTGGTGGCTGGTTCTCATTACAGGGCTGGCCTGGGTCCCTCAGTGGCTGATTATCATCTTCTTCCTCCCCTCCAGGAAAGCTCCGTGGCTTCCTCCATTCTGGGGACTTGGTGATTGTGGTGACAGGCTGGCGACCAGGCTCCGGCTATACCAACATCATGCGGGTGCTGAGCGTAACTTGAGGTGCCCCTCCTCCTCTGACTAAGCCAGCCCTGGACCCATCCCTCTCCACTCCCTCCTGCAGCCCCACATCTAAGTCTTCTCTACTCCCAATCCTCCCTACCCCAGGCCACATCTGCCATCCAGCTCCTTTCCAGGGCACTCCCTGCCTTTCTCTATTTCACGCAGGCCTGGGTAGTCTGTATCCAATTAAGCACCGGCCATCCAGCAGCACCGATGGTACATTCCCTGCATCTAATGCTCTCAACTGGCCCCTAAGATGCCCTGAGCCTTTAATCCCAGCTCAACTGGTTAATTCTATTCCCCCAGGTTTCCCACAGCTGAGAGTGGAGGGGAGGGGAGCAGGGTAATCATGGCCACAGTCTCCACAAAATCTCCTCTTAAAAATCATCTCCCAAGGAGAGTGTCACCTCTTTCTTCATTGTGACCGGAAGCTAGGGGAGATGGAAGCCGGGGAGCACCAGAGCCAGGCGGGCACACCTCATTAGTGTCTCCCCACCTCGAGGCTTACAGGCCACTCCCCATTTGCTCTCACACCCATCTCATGCTTTACTGGGTCAGGTGTTCTGGTTTCCTCCTGCGCCCTGAAATGCCCACTTTGTTCCCACACACAAACCCGGAGCCAAAACAAGTGCCTCTATTTTCTTTTTAAACCCAGATGTTTGGAAGCCATATAAAACTTCTCCCATACACGCAGAACCCCAGAACTCCCCGCCTAGGAGAAAAGGAGTGTTAGGGTCCTGGCCCTACATTCTTTGATGCTGGAGAGTAGCTGTGGGGACAGAGGGGTGGGCTACAGGATTCTCTTGTCCCTGAGAAGGCAGAGATACTGGCTAGCCTGCCCTTCCCTAGGCTTGGATACCTCGGGCCCTCCCCTTGCTCCTGCACCAACAGCAACCTCAACAGGAAAGGAAAAGAACTAAAAATAAGAACAGTCCTTCTCCCCATCTCAGGTGGCCCTTCCTGGTCCTACCTAGATAGGGAGGGTGTTCAAGTATTGCTGCTGATGGGAGTTGCACAGGACCACAAGAGCTGGAATGGAGGGCCCTGCCCGTTCCTGTTTCCCTCCTAGGAGGGGAGGGCAGGGATGGATAAAGGAATGGGTAAATAAAGTGATTTGATAAAAAATAAAATTAGCAAATGAATGAATAAACTATTAAATGAATAAATAAGGGAGGGAGGAAAGCAAAAAAATGCCATCTAGGGATTCAGCCACTTGCCCCCTACCTGGGGGGATCTAGACTGGCACAGTAAATAAGGGGGTGTCAGCAATCCCATAGCTTCAAGGGGGCCGTCACCCGGACAAGGGCACAGAAGGAGAAGGCTCCTAGTTTATAGAAAGGTAGTTCTACCACAGAGACAGAAAGCACAAGGAGCTCAGCAGGAGATGTGTTCCCACTCGGGATATAGACGGGGAGGGTCCACGCATGGCAGTAAAGCTGGGTGCCCACACCAAGGGCCTGAGACATTTGCTGACAGCCATGAGGGCACGGGTAGTTGGCAGTGCCCAGCTATGCTAGCCGGACAGGAAGATTAACCATGCCAGGCAGAACCTGAAAGGTCATGGACAGGAAAACAGAGACATCTAGTTACTTGGCAGTGATGGTGATGGCAGGTACTTGTGCTTAGTAAGATGGGCTCATGGACTTGGGCCTGCACCTGGGAGGGCCGTGGCTAGGGGAATACCCTCCTCAGAGGACTTGGAGTCACTTCTACTTGGCAGTGGAGACATACAGCGCCTGGCGTAGTGCCTTGAACACGGTAGGCGCTAAGAACCTTTGATGAATGGGTGAATGCATTAGGGTGGGTGATAGGCTACAGGGCGCCTGAGCTGAGGACAGAGACCATCTTCTTGGTACTAAGGGGAGATAGTCCCATAGGGCAGTGTTTCAGGTCCTCTCGGTATCCCCAAGAGGTGTCTGCCCTCAGGCGTATGCTACCACACCCAAGAGCTTACCTAAAGGTTTCACATGTTGGCAGACAGCTGGGGGCCCCGGGGAGTAGCTGGCTCAGGCACTGGTGGCCTGGGGGGCTGGGCTGTCCCTGGAGGCTTGGTCAGGAGCCCTGAAGGGGGCAGGCGTTCACTTCCTGAGCCCTTACGCCCAGGAGAGCCATCACCTGCTGCCCTCTGAGGCAGAGAAGGTTGGGAGGCTGAGAGTGGGCGGCCCCGAGGTCCTAGTCGCCGTCCACCCCCTCCTGGGGGAGGCCCCAGCAGTGACACCTGTGAGCGCCCAGCCCGGAATAGGCTGGCATGGAGGGTTCGGGCAGGCGGGGCCGGAAGGCGGGAGGTGGATGCCCAAGGCCCCCGGGCTAGAGGGCCAGCTCGGACAGGCACCAGGGGGGACGCTGGGGAGCCTGCTCCTGCTGATCTTCGAGCAGAGCGAGCAAGGAGGGTGACTGGAGAGTCGGGCGAGAGGGGAAGAGGGCCCCGCTGGTGCGTCAAGGCAATGGCCACATTGGAGGTCACGGCGGCTGCTTGCAGGGGTGCGTGCACTAGTGGCTCCCACAGCACTGGCTTTCCACTGAGCAGAGCTCCTGTGCTGGGCGCCAGGCCCCGAACACCCCGAGCCATATCCCTGTCGTGTTGTACCAAGTGCTGCTCCATGATGCCCCCACTGCTGCCCGGACTTGGCTCAGAGCGCTTCCGCTGCAGTATGGAATTCTTCTTGCCTAGAAATTATCCCGGGGGGAAGGAGTTAAGGATAGGGTAGGAATTCAAGATGAAGGTTGGATATCAAAAGTATGAGGGTAACAAGATGGAGTCAAGGGACACTAGCAGGGTGAAGGTAGGGGATGGGGATCAAGTGTGTGGAGATGGAGTTGGGAGATGAGGGTTGGAGGAAGAGGGTTAGGGGATGAGAGTATGTATCAGAGATGGTGAGGATCAGGGACTGGTACTCAAGGAAGGAGGATTCAATGCTTGGGAACTTGGGGCGATATATCCAAGGTTCAGAGATGCTGAGTTATCGGGACAGTGAGCCAGTGTGTTGAAAGCCCTACTGGGAGGCATCTGCTGGGACTAGGGTCCCCTGGGGTGTGCTAAGGCACTGGAGCCTGGGCCCTGGGATCCTGGGGGCTCCTTGCTATGGACAAGGGTGAGGGCACAGCCTGGACCTCACCGATACGGCGTAGCCGATCCATGGCCACTGTCTCGAAGGCCCGGCGCATCATAGGGAACTCCTCCAGGACGGCATTGAAGTGGTCCACGCTGAGTGAGTAGAGGCGGCAGTAGGTGTCAGCACGCACGCTGGCTGTGCGTCGGCCCCGAGTCAGCAGGCAGATCTCTGACGAAGTTGGGAGGAGACCTTCAGAATCACTGTCTGCAGAACTCCCTCTCACTGGGCCTGCAGCAGCTGACCCAGATTCCTCAGGCTCCTCCCTAGATGGGAGCAACTAATGACTACCCACCCACCCAGAGGCCTTGAGTGCTCCAAGCACTCTCACTCCAAGCTCACTCTCCCGCATAATTAATGTCCTTCTGCCTCTGTCCAAATTAAAGCAGATAAACAGGCAGGTCTTGCTGCAGTCCTAGTTATTCCACTTCAATTCCCACCCCACCTCCATGGCTTTAGCCCAAGGCGTAGGCCTAGGGCAGTGCCCTTTCTTCCCTCCCCTTCTAAAGAACACCAAGATAACCCAGAAGGAGAAAAGCAGTGCTAGAGGGCAAAGGGCAACACAGTGGGGATGCTGGAAGGTGGTGGTGATTTGGGGACTGAGAGATTATGAATCTCAAACACTTTTGGGTGATTTGGAGATAAACCCTTTTCGGCAGCAGCCAGGAGAACTGTGGGACTGCCATGGGCTGGGTCCCTGATTCTCCCACCAAGGCATTCCCCCAGGGAGCCACAAAGCTACAGGTCCTGGGATAGCACTGCTTTATTCCCATCTTTCCCTCATCTTGTGGGATCCCTGGGTCTCACCGGCCCAGAGATTTTCAACCTGGCCATGCCCTGGAATCTCTTAGGAAGCCTTTAAAATTACAGAACTCTAAACCCCAGACCCAGAGATTCTAACTGAATGGGCCTGGGGAGGGGCTGGAACTCTGTGGTGCTGGAGCACAGCCAGGTGAAGACCCAGACCCAGGGGAGCAGCTGTCCTTTCTCTGCCCAGACCCCCCACCCACCCACCCTGAGGCCTGCTGACCCCCAAAGTAGGATCCGTCAGTGAGGCGGGTGTCCCGGGCGCCACGTGCCAGCACACTGAGCAGCCCATGCTGGATGAAGTACATCTTCCTGCCCACGGAGCCCTCACGCACCACGAGGTCCCCCGGCTGGAAGACCTCAAATCGTAGCTTGGTGAGTACAGCCGTGACGAAGCTGGGGTCGGCATGGGCAAACAGCGGCATGTGGGCCACGAGGCCCCGGCAGGTGAAGTTAATGATCTCCTGGGCAGGGGAGGGGCCTGTCAGGCAGGCTGTGCCCCCTGCCCCGAGGTGCCCCCATCGAGCTCATTTGTCTCCAGAAGCCCCACCCCTGGAGTCATGATCTGCCAAAGGATGGGGATGCTTCAGTTGGCCTGGGACCATCTCTAAGCTCCTGCCTTCAGAGCTTTCCCATGAGCCCTTGCAGGACCATACCCTACCCCACCCCAACAAAGATTCCTGCAGCCCGTCCTCATGTATACTTGACCCCTGAAAGATCATCAAGGAAGACCTTAACTCCTAAAAGTGCTCCAAAGGCCTGAACTCCCATGGGGCCCTCTGCAGGCCCCACTTGCCATGGAGGCCCCAGCTGACTAATAGTCCCCACCCTAGAGGTCGGCCCAGAAGCCCAGGTCCTTGAAGAGCCTCTTTCCAGGGCCCCGCCCAGTCCCACCTCCCGAAGTGGTTCGCTCAGCTCTCCTAGGATGCTTTCCTCATCAAACATCTTGCCCTGGTAGCGGTGCTCATAGTACTCGTGGATGCGCTGCCGTGTGTCAGCCGGCAACTTGTGGAAGGACATGTACTGCTCCACCTGCTTGTACTGGAGAGCCAGCCGATGGCCAGCAGGCAAGAAAACACAGA